CACACCCACACCCATACGCACACCCTATACCCACATCCAGACCCGCCCACACCCACACCCACACCCCCACACTCACGTCCACACGGACACCCACCCACACCCACACCCACCCACGTCCACACGGACACCCACCCACACCTAGGGGTGGGAAGTTACCGTTACGTTACCAAGTAACTAGTAACTCGCAAGTTACTAGTTACCGAGTAACTAGTAACGTCGGAGTTACCAGTTACCAGGTAACTAGTAACTTCGGAGTTACTAGTTACTTTTGGTAGGTAACTTGTCTAAGAAGTGGAGATATCGCTTCCTAATGAGTGAATACCATCATTACAGTACTTATTCAGCTCACGAGTTACCGAGTAACTAGTAACGCACATAGGAGTTACTAGTTACCAAGTAACTCGTAATTTAATTGAGTGATGAATAGATGATATTCAGTCATTTGGAAGCGATATCTCGACTTTTTAGACAAGTTACCTACCAAAAATAACTAGTAACTTCGAAGTTACTTGTTACCTGGTAACTGGTAACTCAAAAGTTACTAGTTACTCGGTAACTAATAACTCAAAAGTTAATAGTTACCCGATAACGTAACTTCCGGGTAAGGGTAACTTCCCACCCCTACCCACACCCTCACTTTGGTACTAGTAAATCCACTAAAACAAGGTAAATCTAGTGTGATCATAATGTAATCGATAAATTTCAACAAGATTTCAAAATTATACTCTTTGGAAAACTTGATAATTATGTAAAACATTGGATGTGAATAGTTCCCATAATATTATGTTCACACACCAAAACTGTGTATATCTTAAAGGTCGATTATCTCAGTCTACGCTGGGTATGGGAATGTAATATCTTAAATTTGTTAGTTTCTTAGTGAGTCTGATAATTTGGCCGAGACATGGTTAAGAAAGCTTTTGATCAATAGAAAAGCTTCCATTGTTAGTATTAAATAATGTAATCGTCATTTGTCATCAGTGCTAGTATTTATTTCCTCTGATCATCTCTGTCATTGATCACTATTAAATTGTTATTGAGAAAAATTTCATGCAATAGTTATTAATAATTTCATGCTGATTTTCGTAATAACAGGTTGGTGGTTGTGCTTTTTTTCATTTTTTTTTTCGATTCTGTTTGGAAGAAAAAGGATAGAGAGTAGTCGACACTATGTAACATAATAGAATTTGGTGAGCTGCATCAATTTGCGTGTTTTTTCTGCTTCGTATTCGTGTTTATGCTCTTTCTCTTCTCTTCTTCCGAGCTGTTGTAACCATGTGACTACGGTAGAATCCTCAAAAAAAATAAAAGTGAAGGTGAATCTGTTATTTGTTATTTGTCGTTATCTTTTAAAAATATTATGCACACTGATGACTAGCGAGACTAGTCATAGCTCAAATGCCCGATTTCTTGATGCCAGCGAGGAACCTCATCAGGTTCTCCTGCCTATTCGTGGCTATGCAAAGGAACCATTGTTACCGCTTGAAGAAGCTTTGGTACCAATTAATGAACAACTCGATGACGTCGATATAATGGTGGACATAGCCAAACAAAACTCAAAAAAGCCGGCAAATGGACTTACTCCCAACGAATCGGCTGCCATTCATCTTTACACGATGCAGTGGGAAGAACCAAATGTAAGTCTGTACACTAAGCTCAATACTGTGCTTCGCTCAAAGCGACGAGAATCCCTTAAGCCGTGGTTCCGTTACCTGAAATTGATTCTCACAGCATTATTCAAACTGCCATCGCTGAAGGCCACCATATGGAGGGGAGTCCGCAGTAACATGAGCGATCAATACGATGATGAAATCGTATGGTGGGGATTTAGTTCTTGTACAGAAAGTCTGGAGGTCACAGAGCGATTTGTTGGAAAGTCTGGTGTACGGACATTATTCACTATTGAATGTAATAATGGCAAAGCGATCCGAGCTCATTCACACTACGGTGAAGAGAACGAAATCCTTCTTCTGCCCGGCACTTACTTTCGTGTTGTTGGTAAATCAAGTCCAGCTAAAGACTTATATATTATTCATTTACGAGAAACGATACCACCACGACCATACCTTGAACCGCCTTTTACAACGACACCATCAGATACCACACCCAGTCCCATGGTGCGGGCAACACCTAGGCAAACACCAATTAAACAAAATATTGCAACCTCGAAAAAAGAAGAAGAATTACCAGGTGCTTTTGCTGCTGTGTCGATGAATCGAAAAAGTGAGCACTGTTTTTCATTCTTCTTTGTTTAGTTCTTCAGAGAATTATCTGCATTAGATTTAGTAGTACATACCTAAGTATCCACAGCATCGAATCTAATAGATAGTTTTCTCTATCAAGATTGACCAAAGAAAGTCTCTTTTTAGAATATAAACGAACTTGAGTGGTTGGCTCTAAGGTCTATTCACAAAGCCTTATGAATCCAGAGTTTAAAAATCTGTCACCATATTTCTTTGACATTTTCAATATCCTAGGTTTGTTAGCTAATATTCTGGCACATATTAATCGATATCTTTTCCCAATGCAGCAACACTTATAAAGACAACCCTATGCCTCCGTTATTGTATAGCAAGAATCAAAAGAGGCACATTCGATAGATTTTTCATTAAAACAAAAACGGAAATTTTAGATATACGAATCTGAAGAGTGCACTGAAAAAAAATGGTACGATACCGAACCAAAAAAGGTACTTTGAACGAAAAAAAGGTTTCGTACATAGTACGGAACCTAAAAAGGTTTCGAATTCGTTGCAATTCTCTGAACCATTTTAGGTTCCGTACAGACCACTACGAAAAACTTGAAAAAGTGTCCTGAGTCAATGACAATCAATTTTAGTTACCCAAAGTTTTGTACGAAACCTTTTGAGAGTTTCGTATTGTCGTCGTAAATGCTTCGGTACGCTGCAAAAAAATTTGTATGATTACGGAACCATTTAGGAAGACAATACGAAACCCTCAAAAGGTTTCGTACAAAACTTTGGGTGACTAAAATTGATTGTCATTGACTCAGGACACTTTTTCAAGTTTTTCGTAGTGGTCTGTACGGAACCTAAAATGGTTCAGAGAATTGCAACGAATTCGAAACCTTTTTAGGTTCCGTACTATGTACGAAACCTGTTTTTCGTTCAAAGTACCTTTTTTGGTTCGGTATCGTACCATTTTTTTCAGGGTGAAGCCACCTGACTTTCAAATTGACACGAATATCGTGATGTTGAAGTCTGAAGTCTACACTTTAACTACTTGGGCTATTCTCTCGTACATACTTGCCTCGTACCAATCAAACTTAAGTAAATAGGTAATAATCATGGTATTTCATGACAAAAACAATGCGTAAGAAAAACATAAAAGTAGTGTTCTGAGTTTTCGTATGAAAACTAGCACCATCAATCAGTGCAAAGAAAAACTTACGCTGAAGACCATCACGACTAGATAAAAGTATAAAGTAGAATAGAATTGTTTAAGCCGTTAATAAAAACTCGCGATAATGGCGACGTGTCTATATATGAGAATGGCCAGTCTGGCCGAAGACCCAGATCTCTTTGTTATCATACAGCTTTTATTCATTATCAGGAACATGTGATTTTTTCTACCAGTTATAGTACTAATAAAGAACTAATGACTTGCTATTGTTTCAGTGGTGTATCTTGTTCGAAACCGTAGTAACCGGTTAGATAGTGGTATATATCCTTCACTCCACTATTTTTGTTGTTTCTCTTTCTCTCCTGTATTCATATGTTACTCGTGCGCTTAGATTATTCCTTTCTTTCTTTTCGTTGAACTTCTCCTTGTCATGCTTTCGTATATGTGGAATTTTCCATGCTATTTTAGGAAGTATTTACAGAGGACCTTACGATGATTTATATAAGATTACTAAAATTGCATGTGTGGTTACCGCTTTATGTAATCTTAAGTTGAGTAAAAACCCTATTCGTAAATCTACAGTATGATCCATTATCTTCAGTTTCTAGCCATTTTGTTTCTAATAAACTTATGCTAGGCGGATATCATGCTGTTTCAGATAAATAGTACGAATCCTAATGAGCAAAATTCATAGAAGTATGATACAGACAAAGATTTTACGAGGATATTTGATTCTTTGGCTATCAGCTAGAAACAAAATACATGGTCGAAACAATAGCAGGTCATCAGCTCGTTACCAGTACTATTGTTGGTAAAAAAATCACATGTTTTTGATAATGAATAGAAGCTGTACGATAAAATAGAGATTAGGGCCTCCGGCCAGACTGGCCACCCCAATATGTATGCCATTATAGTCCATGAGAAACATCACTAGATCATATCCAAGCAGACCAATATAGAACATCTCTTTTTCTGAGTCTAATACATCTGAGATATTTAGTAATTGAATATATTAGATGTCGACAGTGATACGTTTGAAACTGTAGCATAGAACGCAGACTTTAGCTTTGTTTGATAAATACTTCAATTAGCATTGCTCATCTTGTTTGATAGATAATAGGCTATCAGGTTTTTGTCTAGTTTACTTAGAATAATGACAACTGTTTTTAGAAGATCAAACATTCGACAAACCTAAGCCAAAGAAGGAATTGTATTTAAATGATTCATTTCTGAGGTAACCATTGATTTGAACAACATACCGAATGATTTCACCCAAGCAGAGAAACGTAGATGAATAAAGCTCTTGTTAGAAGCATTCATATATCTAATGATTTTCAACATTTGACTATATTTATCCTTTCATTTATACAAAGTAAAACAAGTGAATAAAAGGTTAACGGTCGTTCCATACAGTTACTTAACATACCTAGGCCAATGATTCCGGACGACAGATCCTGCAGGAACCGGCAGGAAAATGCGGGAAAATTCACCGTATCCTGCAGAAAAACACCGGAAGCCGCCGGAAAAGGGTGGCAGTATTCCGGCCGAAACATCTCCGTATTCTTTTCCGGTGACTTCCGGTCAACTTCCTCCCGTTTCCTGCAGGAAGTTGGCGGAAAGTCACCTGAAAAATTCCGAAAATTTTCCGGCCGGAATACTGCCACCCTGTTCCGGCAACTTTCGGTGTTTTTCTGCCGAAATCGGCCCGTACTTTTCGGCCTGGGATGTAAACTCTACGCCACTCAAGAACTTTTGAATCTACATTGAGAAAAACCAATATAAAAAAACAACATCATCCTAAAGATTATTCAACGCTCAGAAAGTTTCAATCATTAACTCAGTTTGAATGAGTTCATTCCCAGTGTATATGTTTTTCGAATAGAAGGTTTGTGCTAATTGCGGCAAATGCAGTTATGATCATTCGTTTTTCAATGGACTTGAAATTTATAGCCGAATTACATATCCTAACCTTGAAGTAAAACCAATATAAACGAATAGAACCCTAATTAGATTAATTCCTGTGATCGCCCACCTGGTTTATGCGGCACGAGTCGATTGCTATGCTTTGAAGTGCATGGGATAAGTGAATATGATTGTTGGCATTATTTCAATCATTCGTTTAACATGCGAGCATCGTTTTATCATTGAATTATATCAGTAACCACAATAGAGATAGACTAGTATCAACAAAACTTATCGAGAGAGATGATCATTCATGTAATAGATGACTCTCGATACATTTTTCTTTATTGGATCACTAGTTTCATCTACATAAAATAGATGCACAAAATTATCCATCAAGCTGGAAATGAATGGCGATGATTTATTTGTGGTATAATCGTCGAATGATTTCGTCAATTGAAAATTTTGTGTCGTAGGAAATAATATAAGTGAACACAACACCCAAGGTCAGAATGATTCGTTTTCTAACTGAAGTTTGATTAACTTGGGGACTGTTATGTCATTATTCTTTCTTATCACCGAGAAAGCAACGTGATGGTATGACCACAGAACAGAACAAAAGAATAATCTCCCTTCGCATGGAATCGAACCATGCATCTCCTGCTTTCAGGGCAGTCGTATTAACCACTGTACTAGAAAGGAGTACTCATCATTCGTTTCGTTCTGTCTTATGTTCGAAGAGGAACACTTCGAACATAACAGGAACACACAATATGAGAAACCAAAGTGATCACCATTAATAAATACAACCATTACAAGACTTATAATAATCCATTCATCATATTATCTTTAAAAGCAGCTTATTTTTCAAGATTTCATTGCGATGAATGCAATAGAACTGAATTGGGTCATTGGAACGATAACGATCATGATAATTCCTCTGCTATGTAATCTTTTGTAAGCAGATAATCTCATACGGCTTCATCCAAAATGAGTTGATCAGATAGATGAATAAGTTCATAAGAAGCGTTCTATTGATTTATAAATCGTATGATCTTCGAGTGGCACATTGATTTACATGACTTATTTATGTATGAGTGTGGGTGTGGGTGAGTGTGGGTGTGGGAGGGTGTTGGTGTAGTTGTTTGCTTCACCCACACCCACACCGCCCACTCACACCCGCACCCACACCGCACACCGCACACCCACACCCACACCCACCCACACCCCACACCCTTTTTCTATCAAAATTTTCTTTAGTACAATTTTTGTACACACTCTTGTAGTTCGTAAGAAGTGCAATCTAGCTTCGTTGATATTCTTCTAGTTGTTTGTGAAAATGATAGCCATCAAGTGTGTTAATCATTCAGATGTATGGCAAAAGCCTGCATAAATTTCTATATAACTTACAAAAGAAGACTTTAAAAATCGTCATTTCCAGAAGTTTTACAGAACTCGAATTAATTTTTCTTTTAATGACGAAGTTCTGTTTAATACAAACGAGATTAGCTTGCTATTACTTTCTGGTTAAATACAATAGTCTTACATTTTTCCATGAATTTTTTCTATACCAGGGTTATTTCATAACAATGATGTCTAATAATGAACACTATAGATTAAAATAATTTTTAAATAAGATTGAAACTAATCATTCTTTTTAAAGCACCTAAATGCTTGACTTTTGAAAGTTCAATGTTGGGAACAAAAACTCTTTCGTTTTATGAGGACTATTTGTTGAGAGGTATAAAGAAGCCTGAAATTGTTTTTATTCATTGGTTCATTTTTAGTTACTCTTAGTATCCCAGTGAATGCAAAATGGGCGCAGAATGGTATCACTCTTGCTGGAGGTCACGGAGAAGGTAATACCACCAAACAGCTCAACTACCCCCATGGTCTCTTCGTTGACAATGATCAAATAATAGTCATCGCTGATCTAGGAAATCATCGTGTCGTCCAATGGAGGTTGGACGATACGACTGGACATGTCGTAGCTGGTGGTCATAACGGAGGAGATCGATTGGATCAATTGAAATGTCCAACTGATGTTCTGGTTGATAATGAGAATGATAGTCTCATTATCTGTGATCGAGACAATCGACGAGTCTTACGATGGTCTCGTCGTAGTGGCGACACTCAAGGAGAAGTCCTCATCGATAACATCGACTGTTGGGGATTAGCCATGGATCATCAGAGATATCTCTACGTCTCCGACACAACAAGACATGAAGTCCGACGGTATCAAATAGGAGACAAGATTGGAACTCTCGTGGCTGGTGGTCATGGCGAAGGCACTGGTCTCCATCAACTTAATGAACCAGTCTACATCTTTGTCAATCAACAACAGTCAGTGTATGTGTCGGACTACTATAACCATCGTGTGATGAAGTGGGAGAAAGGTGCAACAAAAGGAATTATCGTTGCTGGAAGTCAAGGTCATGGAAATGCCCCGTCACAATTGAATGGTCCTAATGGACTGTACGTCGATGCGTTAGGTACTCTCTATGTGGCGGATGCGTGGAATAATCGAGTCATGCGTTGGCCTAAAGGAGCCACACAGGGTACTGTCATCGTGGGTGAAAATGGTTCAGGACCAGGACCTGATCAGCTCAATGGTCCTGTTGCTTTATCTTTCGATAGTAATTACAATCTGTACGTCGCCGATTGGGGAAATCATCGTGTTCAACGTTTTTCAGTTCTATAAACTGATTAGAGTTGTTTTTTCCTTGACTTTTCTCAAATGAAATTCTCCGAATGCATTTTATTATTCTATTCTGGGGTGCGGGTGTATTGGGTGTGGACGTGGGTGTGGGTGTAGGTGTGGGTGGGTGAGGATGTGGGTGTGAGTGTGGGTGTGGGTGTGGGTGTAGGTAGGTGTGGATGTGGGTGTGAGTGTGGGTGTGGGTGTGGGTGTGGGTGTGAGG